TATTCCTTTATAGAGGTAGATACGAAAAGAAACTGGCTTTCTCTTTGTAAACAAACTGCAACTAATTATAGATCCAGTGAGCAAAATTATCTGGGAACGTGGCTGGTGCACGATATAAATATTCATTAGTATAGAACAATGTTCTGCAATAAAAGTTGACAAATTGAACCTAATAATGTAGGTTCCGTCTCGAATAAAGTAAGCGCGTCCAAGATTCTGATCAAGACTTACTTTTAGGCAGGAAATCATAATTGTTATCTTATATATGAAGACGAAGGTCACGTGGCCCTTCCTCTTTGTCGCAGTCTTCTTTAGTTTGGTCCGACCATGTTTTTTTAAATTGGTCGAGGCGTCAGATGGACCTTGTGGAACTCGGCTAGTGCTGTGTCCTCTGCCATACTATTCGTGAATCTTAGCATAGAACCATTGACTTGGTACATTCCCAAACGTGAAGGTGCCATCGTCAGCACAGTTACAACTCATCAAAGTGCCTAGTGACGACAATACCCCTGACCTATTTTATGTTCATCTGTTGTGGCATCACTTATCTGCCATATTTTTTGTTCTATCTTCTAGTGCTGTATCTCTTTCTCTCAATCTTATTTCATATGGCCCATCCACATATTCACACAATTCAGTGATATTCTTCGAATGTCGCCTAAGAGTGTGTTTTTACAAGTGAGTTTAGCAAAGTTAATCATTTTCATCTCCGGTAGCAGGTGTCATTTGGAGAACTCCAGACTTTCATTTAGCCCCCCTTTTCCTACCTCTCTTGTTAATTGGTTGCTTCTAAACATCAAGATCATTGTATGAAATCTAGCTACCTAAGAAACTTCAACTTCTGTCTCCAATGACACTCTAACCGACGATGCCTGGGAGTCTTCCCTTCAAAAGGCTTATAATCCATGACTTAGTTATCCTATCTCTCATCCCGCTCACATCGTATCTCATTCTTTGGGGCCCTGTGCCCAGGTTAGTTCCTAACCGCTGGTGTCAAAGTGTATCGCTTCTCATTTTTCTTTTTATGATTCACGAAAAACATACCGCTCGCCCTTCAAGTTTACACTTTCTTTTGATCCCAGGCTAGTTGGATGCTCATTTCTCTGTTAGCCGAAATCCTCCATGGCTAAACATGTTACCAGTCACTTCCCATTAAGGCACACACAAGCATGCACACTGGTTATTTAAATTTGGCTCATATATACCTTGAACCTTTAATTTTCTATCCCGCATCACACAAGTGGACCCCTCTGATAATTTTCTGGCCGATTCCAAGTTTGGATCCTCTCACAGCAATCGCCTTTTCTTGACCTTCCTTTGTCCCTTAGGAGCCGTTTCTTGGTGATATTCCTACCTATTGTTGAACAGTTGTCCTGTGTCTAGGCGTCTTTTTGATGTCTTCGCTCAATCTTTAAGTCTGTCAGGGCAATACGCGAAATTATCATGGACTCTTTCTTCTCTATTCTTCTGTTCATCAGCTTTCTTTGAATGATGATGTCCACAGACTCCCAGATCTTCCATCTTCTGGTGTTCTCCCCATATGAGGCCAATATTTCCTTTGTATTCTAGTCAGTTTGGCCGTTAGTAACGATGTGTTAAGATATCTTCGAGCTTTCCGTATCTATTATTCAATATAGTTGCAGGTGCTCTTTGATCTTCATGTTGATTGTCCTCTGTTTCTTTGATGTATTTTTGTCTACAGTCATCACAGTTAATGCTGTAAACTCTGGGGCACTCCATTTTGTTGACTTCTTTATGTTGGATGAAGAGGGATGTCCTTTCCTTCAGGATTTTACGAATGTTACATTTTCATACTGTCGGCCGCAGCTTCCTAGCTTAATTTTCTAGAGGGTAGACATATCCATAATTTTTCGTCTGTTTGTTTTGTCTTCCATCTATTCATCGCCATCCGTAAGTTGCATTGTATTGCTTCTTCTGCATACTTTTTTTTCTAAGAAACATCTGAGTTAGTTTTTCAAGTTCCTCTTCGCAGAGCCCGGAATCAGTAAGTCGTAGGCTTCTTATGTTTATACTCCTGAGCATTCCATAAGTATGGTTGGACTGTCAGTTAAGATTTATTCCAGTATGCGATTTCTTTGGTAAAAGTCGTTTCCTGAGTCATTGCTTCGAATGACTACACTCAAGAAAGATGAGTGTTCTTCCTTTATCACAGTGGTAAATTTGACCTTCAGCCATTTCGTTTATACAGAGCAGGAAATCGTCTGAGAGACTAGAAGGGTAATCAGCTCAAGAATTAAAAAATACCAGTGACAATGCCAGAAAAATGGATACGGAAAGCTTGAAGACAGAAAGACTTTTCTCACATAAGGAAAACACCAAGAAATGTTAGATCGGGTACGAGAATTGAGGGTTCTTAGGTAGCCAGATTTCAGACAATAAGACAGTGCATTTGATGTCCGACAGGGTCTCCCTGATGCTGTGACCAAGTTGCGAAAGCAACGTCGAACCAACACTGAGGCTAAAGGAGACTGCGACCAAACAGAAGGCGACACCATCTTAGTCTTCATATCTACAGTGATTTTAATGTTTAGAAGCGACCGACTGATAGACAGGCTAGGAAAGGGGGGATTAGATCAAGGTTAGAAGCCCTTCAAATGACACCTGGTACTAGTGGTGAAAATGATTACGCTTCTCTAAACCCACTTGTCCCAATACACTCTTAGGCGACATTGGAAGAAATGTGGGCCCATAATTATGTGAATAGGTAGGTAGGGTATATGAAGTGGGGTTGAGAGAAAGAGATATAGCACTATAAAATAGAACACCGGAGTGATGCCACAACGGTTGAACAGATAATAAGTCAAGGAAATTGCCTTCATTTGCCACTGACCATATTGCGGAAACAAGGTCGAATCAACCATATAATTAGTGTCTGTGATAAAAGGAGGGTGAACAGTTTGCTAAATTTGTAAATAAAATGCCTCTAGTATTCTTATTTACACAAAGATTACATGTCTATCGAAAGTATAAAGACCAAGATGATGTGGCCTTTTGTGTGGTTGCAGTCTTCTTTCGTTGTATAAAGGTTGCTTGACCTTGCTTCCGCAACTTGGTCATATTGGTAGGAAGACTTAGAGTAACGAACCTTGTCAGAAATCCATTATATGCATAATCATAACCGTAGATGTGGTACATTCCCCATTTTAATTCAATTTCAGAAAAGATTCATTTAAGTGGTGTAGTATTCACTTACTGTGATGGATCAAGAGCTGAAGTAGCTTCTAGCAAAATAGGCATGTAATCGCAACTTCGTCATATTTGTAGGAAGGCACCTAGTTCGAAGTCTATTGTATGCATAATCATTTCCAAACTCGGAACGTAGACCTGGTACATTCTCGCGTCCACGGTCCGAGTTTGGAAATGCTTATGCATACAATAGACTTCGAACTAGATGTGCTCCTACCAATATGACGTAGTTGCGATTACATGCCTATTTTGCTAGAAGCTACTTTAGCTCTCGATCCATTACAGTAAGTGAATATTGCACCACTTAGATGAATCTTTTCTGAAATTGAATTAAAATAATTTTCATTTTAGCAAAGATTTTCTATGAAAATTGAATACTCATCTCAGGGTTTAGTTGTATCATTTCCGCTATATTGCTGAGAAAAGCCCCCTGACAGAGAATGATGATGATTAGATAGATAATCACTTTATGCATAGTCATATGTTTGATATTATCTTATCCTTATAATCAAATTTGCCTCTTTACTCCATTTTAGACATTTATCGGTTGCTTTAGGCTTTTGTCTAACATTGTGCTACATAAATTGCAAGCCACAAGTAGAATGTAAGCCGATTCCCAAAGGCATCATTGGTTTATTACTTTGGCTTTGAAACTTATGGAGAAGTTATTTTATTTTATTGGACAATTTTTCCCCCACTTAATTCGGGGGGATCATTTAGCTGATTAACTTAAGTGACTCAAACTAGCGAATCTACGCTTTTCGAATAAATGCGTGATGTGACCTGTCTAAACTCAACAGACTATCTAACTTTCTTTCATGATGTGTAATTTACAACTGCTTTATTAACTGACTTTCTGACTTCATTCTCGCAAAATAGGTTGGAACCATCGGGAGACAATTGATTCACTTTTGCGAAAGGGTGGTTATCGGGCCAGCATAAATGAGTCTGTGCGTCAGTCTATTCGGCTGACGCGCTATCGCAGTGAAAAGTTGACTCTTCATGCCCAGGAGTATCTTCGCGAACGACAAGGCGGAGTTCGTGTGTAAATTTCTTTGATAACTTTATCTTGCTTATTTGGTAGCCTGACGCGCTCCTCATACAGATTTTACTCACCCCCTTCCACTTCCCTCTCATAAACCCGACCCATAGCTCAGCACGCTTATCTGTGCAGTGTATACTCTTCAGGAAATTACCTATTCTTTTTTATATGGTTCATATGGATGTGCTTCTTCGCATGCCTGGGCCTGTTTCTTTGTCTATTTTCACGAGTTTCAGGCTAAGAAAAGCCATGACCTATAATTTTTTACTGTTTAGCATTGTTTATGTTTCTGCCGTTCATTGCCATGCTCAGGTTCTACTTACCTGGCACAGTGTCAAGACTTGAAATGCATATAGCTTTATTTTATATATATCTTAGTTCTGACTGTCTCCAGCCTTGCTTACTTTGATCCATATGTAGTGTTTGATCAGATTTGCTATAAGTAATGTTGTGTGCCTGCTTTGTCGTTTTGGCTTGATGCTTCCAGAATTGCTGCTCTTCTGGATAACTTAATTCTCTAAATCTATCCCAATTATCGACTTGCGGCTAAGAGCTATTTGATTATGACTAACATTTCTTTATTTACCTCTATATGAATACTAATTATCTTGTCTCCGCTTTTACTCTTCTCTAAAAATTTATCAGAGGTAGTTTAATTTTTACTTTTCGTCTGTCCGTCAGGCTAATTTTTTTTCATATTTTCTTTTTCTCTTCCACTTCTTTCATTGTATATAGCCCACGCAGATTGGGTGAGCATACACTTATATTGATCCAAGAGACGATAATTCGTCCTCAGCTTAACTCAGATCTTTAATTAAATTCTCTGGTTGAACTCATTATTGCGACGGATTGTTGTCTATTTTTTGTCAATATATTTTCGGGAAAAATTCCTGATACATGGCTTCTGCATACCTTCATCTCATCCAAGTGTACCATTTAGTTATGGTGCTAGATGTGCATATTTGCTAGCTTTTATCGACAAGCCTTTCCACACGCATGGTTTTTGTCACGATCTTGCAAAAATTGACTAACCACGTGATAATATATTAGATGCCCTGCTCTTTCCGACTTGAGTTTGGAGTGGCACACATGAAATTATAAACAACGCCTTCCAAAAGGATGAACATAGAGTTTATTTCTCTGCCTTAATTCTCAGCGACCTAAAAACGAAATAATTGATAAATCCTTTATGCCAAATTTTCCTTTGGATTGTTTTCTCTTGTATTAACTGACTTAGCACTCGCTACGCACAACGCAATCCGCCGTCCCTATTACCCTCAAACCTATCTGTTACTGAAAGCGTATGTCTTGTCAGCGCTTTTCTAACCAGTTTAGTTATTTTTATTATCCTTCCATTTCCAATATTAGCCTTGTTAAAATGCACCGCTTTCCCTTCTAAGATTTCATCTTAATTCTTTGAATTTTCCCCTTGTTTATCTGACTGCTATCCTTAATTCTTCATCCCATTTTGTTTATGCTGTTTATACTCCTCCATAAGACTGTCCGCTATCTACCGCACAAATGACTAATAAACATAAACGACTGTTAGCTATTTAATGAACTTTGTTGATTTTATTCGTTGGGTCATGCTTTTTAACTGATCGATTCCTTTTGTCTAACAAGATAATTGTCTATGCTAAGGCTAACCAGGCTTTATGTGTTAGCAAAGGCAACCAAATGATCCGTGTCCTTAAAATTTTTCGTCTATTTTTTCAGTTTACGCTATATTTCTTCGCGATCTATATTCAGAATATCCAACGTAATAATTGTTTAGTTAATAAACACAAGATATCTGTATCTTGAATGCCTTACAGATCTGGAGTTGAGCGTATGTGTTTGCTATTCTTCTAAGTATCCAAAATTTCTTACTATTTCGATAACATACTAATGATGGTTCACAGGGCATATTCGTGACTATATGCTGAGTTCCAAAATCTGTATGATTTTTGTTATGACGCGCAACTTTGATGGGTGACAGGGAAACCCTTCACATACAGTCATGCTTTTTCGGCATGAGTCTCAACATTGCCAAGATCGAATTGTAATTTGATTCTAAGGATATTGTCTAACGGCTAATGCCAACTTAACTTTGGGAATTTACCCAGTTAACTATTCACATGGAATTCATCATGACTACTGCAAGGGACGCATAATTGAATTTACTACACAAAAATTCCGTCAACTTGATCTATTTTCTGTCTCAGTCTTCATATCCTGCTTAGCAGTCACAAATACCTTAATTTTGGATGTGAGCTTGCCTAGTCTCTCATTTTATTATGGATTTTTCAAATGTTGTTGAGTTCACAAATAGGGACAAAAATGGACGGGGATTGTCTACCTATCCTTAGGCAAAACAACAATGCGTTAGACTGACAGCATGTTCTGGGCCTGTGTTTTAAAGGTTTCTCTTAGTCAAGTATTTAGCTTTCCTTTCTCAATTAAGAGTATAAAGAAAGTTTAAATAGTAAAGCATTTTCCCAATTAATCAGTCTGCTAAATTATACTTAATGCTACGAAATTGCGACGTAATAGTAAAAACAGTCTAACTAGTTGATGCTGGGATGAAAGGACATACGTGCTATGATCTGACCTGCAATAAAAAATCATTCACATTACACT